CCTTTTTATTAAACAAACAGCGAATTCCTCTCGTTCACCTTCAGCAAAGTCTTTCAAGGGAGAATTTACAGTCACAGGCCTTATCTGGCTTGGAGAGCTGCCAGGCCGATATCTTCAAAAGTTGGCAAGGAGTCACAAACCAATTAGGTGAACTAATTGTCTCGTGCAAACCTCACTCCCCTTTCACTCCTCTTTTATTCCCTCTGGGAGGGGCCATTAAAAAAAAAAAAGATTTATATGCCTCCCTTCTCCGGAGACTCAGGGTGACTTACAATGTGCTAAGCAATAGCCTTCATCCTTTTTGTATATTTATACAAAATCAGCTTATTGCCCCCACAACTGGGTCCTCAATTTACCTACCTTAGAAAGGATGGAAGGCTGAGTCAACCTTGAGCCTGGCGAGATTCGAACCTGCAGTAATTGCAGGCAGCTAGTCTTAATAACAGGGTGCTTTAAACCACTGTACTACCAAGGCTCCTGCATTCATTGTCCACCTGTGGCTTTACTCCTGAGTCAGCCCTTGTTCCTTAGCTGTTCCCTTCTCTTGGCAGCTCTGTGCATGCTCACACTGGGAACAGGATCCAGCTCTTCTTCTGCCTCACTGATGTCCGACTCCCAAGGCAGCTGACAACTATCAGATGGCCCTGGCTCCCTCTCTGCCTTTGACGCAGAGCACTCATCAGAGCCTTCCCCAGACTCCAGGACTGGCCCATGTTCTTCCCCAATCTCCTCACTGTCTAAGTCTGCCACCAGCTCCGCTGGCTGTTGGAGGTCCACAACATCTAGAAACCTCTGTCTCTACTTCCTCCTCCTTAGAAGACAACTCCAACAAGGCCGTAATATTGGGGTTATTCAGAGGTTTCCCATTCCAGTCCTAACCAAACTTAACCCTGCTTAGCTTCTGACCCCAGCCAAGGTCCACCAGCTGTTGACCCCTAGTATGGATTCCAGTTAGACCCAATTTCAGGGTAAAGTCCTCTTCTCTTTGTCCTTCCCAACAGAAATCCTGAATGAATAGAGTCAGTTCATTGAAAAGTTAGTGACTGCACCAAAGGTGGGTTTCAGCAGGTTCTGACCAGTTCTGGAGAACCACTAGCGGAAATTTTGAGTAGTTCGGAGAACCGGTAGTAAAAATTCTGACTGGTCCCACCCCCATCTATTCTCTGCCTCCCGAGTCCCAGTTGATCGGGAGGAAATGGGAATTTTGCAGTAACCTTCTCCTGGAATGGGGAGGGAATGGAGATTTTACAGTATCCTTCCCCTACCATGCCCACCAAGCCATGCCCACCAAGCCATGCCACGCCCACCAAGCCACACCCACAGAACGAATAGTAAAAATTTTTGAAGCCTACCACTGTCACTGCACTCTAATGACTGCACAACTAATCCATCAGATCCGACTTCCTTGATCTGGTTCCTTCTAACTGTCTGAACTTCCACTCATCCAAACCAACATCTTCGATTGGAATGTTGCAAGCTAGCCCCGAAGTTGCCCGTTCGAGGAAAGCCATCCTAGCTTTGTTCCCTGGGATCTAAAACGTGGCTCGTTTCGCTGTTTTGCCCGTGCATCAATCCTCAAGACTTTACTCCAGTGTGGATGCCACCATTATGGAAGGATGGCCTCACCAGCTCAGTGCCATCACCGGAGATTGGATGGATGCCCAGGAGATCCTTAAACCCTGATCAATTCTGCAAAAGGAACCCCGGGCTGCTTACCACAAAGGCCTCTCATTTGTAAGTTCGACCAAGCTGGCGGTTTGCTTCTATTTTGTTTTAAACAATAGTTTCATGACAATGAGCTGTTTTTTTTAAATAATCCAATAAGACAGAACAATGAAGCGATGTCTGGAACAGTGCGCTGGGCAGGCTGCAGCCTTTTCCATTATCCTACAGACGAGCATGAGGGAGTTAGAGCAACATTAACTCATGCTCTCCAAGTTGCCTGTTCATTAAACTATCATGATTGCCGTTTCTATTATTTCCAGGGTTTTGCCATTTATTTACCATTTACCAGCTCATACATATGGAAGGCATGGTTTACAGTTCCTGGAGAACTGCACTTTTCATCCTAATTGATTCTGGTAATTAATTTGTTCTACCTGCTGGATTAGATGGAACTGCTGTCCATGTGCCCAAGGATTACCACTTGTCTTTCTAACATCTCTCCTAATTATCTAATAGCATGGGTTGCGAGAATTCTGGCTCTATTAAAACATTTTGACTATTAACAGCCCCTGACTGGAATTGTGATGACAACTCGATTTTGACAAATTAGAGCTTAAAATTGGGGAGATGAAGGAGAAGTGCCTTCTTTTAATTTCCCTGAATTTAACATCAATAATTAGAGCAATTTTCCAAGATGCGAGCTGAAATTATCTCGGCTGTGATGTGGAGTATCACCCTAATTTTAGCAAATTGACTCTGGGGAAATGAGTATTACAGATTAGAAGGGGGTAAAAAAGAAAAAAAAAAAGCCAGAGAAACAAGAAAGAGAGGGAGAGAGAGAGAGAACATGAAGAGAGAAAATAAGAAAAGACGAATCATATGATTTTAAAGAAGTGAATATAAATAAAATCCCAGCAAAATCATGGATTAAGGTAAAGGTAAAGGTTCTACTCGCACATATGTGCTAATCGTTCCTGACTCTAGGGGGCACTGCTCATCTCCGTTTCAAAGCCGAAGAGCCAGCGCTGTCTGAAGACATCTCCGTGGTCATGTGGCCGGCATGACTAAATGCCAAAGGCGCACGGAACGCTGTTACCTTCCCACCAAAGGTGGTCCCTATTTTTCTACTTGCATTTTTTATGTGCTTTCGAACTGCTAGGTTGTCAGAAGCTGGGACAAATAATGGGAGCTCACCCTGTTACGCGGCACTAGGGATTCAAACCGTTGAATTGCCAACCATTCGATCCACAAGCTCAGCATCTTAGCCACTGAGCCACCACATCCCTAAAATCATGGATTAGCCATGTTTAATGTTGACCCAGTGAAACCAATCAGCATCTTCAGATGTCAGTGCCTGTTTTATAATTTATGCATTTGTCCAATTCAATATTAAGGTGGATTAAAATACATTTGAAAGGAAGTACCACGGTATTTTTGGTGAATCGTCTTCATGGCAAAAAAAAATATGTAGGTTTCTTTTCTTTGGCTTTTTTAAAATCCCATTTTTGGGGCTAACTCGAAAGTGATAACTCACACATCTTGCAGAAATCAGAGTTTGGGGAGTAATATTTTTTAAAAAGTAGCTTTGCAGTTTTTAATGAGATGTGGGATAACTTCTTAGGAATCTTTTCTAACTTAATAACCTCCAAGTGTGCTGGATATGCCACTCTGGAATTTCACCCATCAGAACCGAAGTCATTCCTAAAACATCTTTGGGGTACCAACTTGGAGAAAATAGGTTTAAAGCACAATCTCTTCAGTATCTCAGGTGTGCTGTTCTCTGCAAAAGGATTCTCCCATTGTAATACTTGCAATCTGCTTTCTTGTGTCTCAATATATCCTGTGATATCCCTTCTTCTAATTTTTTTTTTTTAATTTGATTTATATGCCGCCCTTCTCCGGAGACTCAGGGCGGCTTACAATGCGCTAAGCAATAGCCTTCATCCTTTTGTATATTTATACAAAGTCAGCTTATTGCCCCCACAACTGGGTCCTCAATTTACCTACCTTAGAAAGGACAGAAGGCTGAGTCAACCTTGAGCCTGGTGAGATTCGAACCTGCAGTAATTGCAGGCAGCTGGTCTTAATAACAGGGTGCTTTAGATCACTGTACTACCAAGGCTCCTAATTGTTTGGAAACCATGATTTATGGCCGAGCCAAATGATTTACAGACAAAGGGCTGTTGGATTGTCTCTGGACAGGTTTTCAGGATGGGTAGTCCATCATCCTAAACGATAGCTTAGTCCTAATTGCAACTTTTGCCCATTGCGGTCCTTTACACCTTCAAACAGGAACAGTGAAATTTGCACAACAGGCTTAAGTTGGTTATTGGCTGTTATCCCTTTGTGGGCCTCACACAACCCAAAAATATTGGCCATTAGTTTCTTGTTAACATTAAATTTCATCTCCTGAGTCTTCGGAGAGGGGCGGTATATAAATTTAATTAATTAAATCTCCCTGTAGGATTGAAACGTCTACTTTATCACTAATTTGTTTTAAGTCTGCACCCAGTTGCACCATAGATTCTTCCGAACTTCTTCTTGACATCTTTTTTTTTATTCCTGCAAATCCTTCTTCTATTTCCTTTTTAACTGTTGAAGTCATCTTTTTGCCAAATTCTTCAAACTTTTTCTGCAATAAATCTGGTGAAATGCCCTTATCTGTAAGCTGTTCTAGTGAACTCCTGCCTCTGTCTGCCAGTTCAGCAGATTTTCTTGTGATTGCTGTTGTGAGGAAGTGAAAAAATGAACTAAGAGCTAGCCAAGCTAACTGGCTTCCCCTCGTCCAGTGGGGCCACCCAAAAGCCTACTTACTAAGCTCAGCACCTGCAGCCATCTCTTCTTCTCCTCTGGCTTACAGGTATCAGAATAGCGAGGCGGTTTGCCCCATTGAGTTGCAAGCTTCTTGCCTTCGCCAGTGAGCTTACCTGTAAAGGAGAGAAGAACTGGGGGAGGAGGGAGAGACGTCGAACCCATTTTATCCTGCCCCATGGTGCCCCCCACCCAACCCGCCCACTCCCCGGGGTCCGCCGTTTCCAGCCCCCGCGGCTAACTCTCTCTTTCAGCACCACGGAGAGCAGCCCCGTCACTTGCCATTCAGGTGGGCGCCTCGATGCCCAAGCCAGCCTTCCCCCCGCCCTGCTAATTCGCCATTGGCTGGTTGGAGATGCCCCTCTCGAAGCGGCCCTCAAAGGCACATGTGCCTCCCTCCCGCCCGCATCCAAAAGATCTTGAAGATCGCGGCGCGCTTCTCGCCCGGCTCATCCAGGGGCGGCAGAGGAGAAGGAGGATCGCACCCCTCCTCCAACTCCGAGGAGAGTGGGCGCCCCGATCCGTCCACCAAGAGCAGAGTTGGGCGAAAGGGACGAGATGAACCTCAACTTCACCTCGCCCGCCGTGGCCCCCAGGCCGACCTCCTTCTTCATCGAAGACATCCTGCTCCATAAGCCCAAACCTATGCGAGATGGGGGGCCCGAGGCATTCCACGGAGCCTTGGCCTCACGGGTGCCTCTGCTGGACTATGGGTACCCGCTGATGCCGCCCCCGGCCATTTTGGCACCTCACCCGCATCATCCGCTCCACAAACCCGACCATCATCATCACCCCTATTTCTTGACCACTTCGGGTAAGCGTCTCTTCTCTCCAGGGTCAGCTGGGCAATGTGGCAGCGGGGAAGGGGCTTCAGGTTAAGAGTTGGAGGAGAGACAGAAGCTGGGGTTCCCTGGCAATCGGCTAGGGTCAGGGCAAGGCAACCAGTAGGGGTAACGGACCCTTTGGGGGGGGGGGAACAAGCCAAGAAGGGAGTAGGGCCTCGGAAAGGAAACCGTGTTGATGTTTGAAATCGCCCAGCTGCAGGGCCGTAGCTGCGCGCACACGGGATCTTGGGCAGAGCAGAGGTTACCTGCGGAGATCCGAGTCTGCAACCTGTCGGGGTTGCGGTCCAGGTAAGCGAGCTGCCCTCTCAAGTAACAGCTTGCCCTCCGCTCCAATTCCGTCACGGGTGGAAATTCAGAGTCCCGTTTTGAGGTCTTTTTTTTTTTCCCCTCTCCAAAATAAACAGCGATTTTATTTCGGCCGTTTTTAAGCGGCAGTTCCGCTGCTTCCTTCCACTCCTTCAACGCAGCGATCCTTCCTGGAAATTTTCGGACCAATTTAACTTTTCAAATGAATCCTTATTTCTGATATTCTGAAAAGAACAAGCAAATTGGTTGCTCTTGCCTTATATACGTACTCCCTTTCGGGCCATCAGGGTGGCTATTTTTTTGTTGTTGTTGTTAATTTCCAATTAAGTATCAGGAAGTTAGTTTTACAGAGTTCCTTCGGAAGTAAGGAAGGAAGAAAAGGATAGAAGGAAGGAAGGAAGGGAAGGAAAAGAGGAAGGAAAAGAAGGAAGGAAGGAAGAAAAGGAAAGAAGGAAAGAAGAAAAGGAAGGAAGGAAGAAAAGGAAGGAAGGAAAAAAAGGAAAGAAGGAAGGAAAGGAAAGGAAAGGAAGGAAGGGGAAGGTAGGAAGGAAGGAAGAAAAGGAAAGAAGGAAGGAAGGAAGGGAGGAAGAAAATCAAAAATCAAATCAAAATAAATAAAAAAGGAAAGAAGAAAAGGAAGGAAGGAAGAAAAGGAAAGAAGGAAGAAAAGGAAAGGAAGGAAGGAAGAAAGGGGAAGGAAGAAAAGGAAGGAAGAAAGGGGAAGGTAGAAAAGGAAGGAAGAAAAGGAAAGAAGGAAGGAAGGAAGGAAGGAAGGAAGGAAAGAAGGAAGGAAGGAAGGACTTCAATGATCAAAAAGTATTTGATCATTTTCAATCTTACATTCTATCCCATCAAATACTGAGTTTTCCAAATTTTCCCCCCAATAGGTGACAGGTACAGCTTAGAATCTGTTGAGAGAGAATCAGGAAAAGGCCGTTCATTTGGAAGGCGACCAAACCGTTACTTTTATTTGCTTTTGACAAAATCCCGATTTTTAAAGAGATAAAAGGGTTGTATATGCTGCAACTGTAGCCGCGACTCTTTTTTTTTTTTAAAAGGAAAGGGTCTGTGGGGGGGGGGGAAAGATACTGTAAAAGAAGCGGGGATAAGCGCACGCTTAGCAGCGCAAACTTAAGTTTTGGGAAGGAAGGCGCTCGCGCAGGTCAGCGGGGCTCATTCTCAAGGACGCACAGGATTATAGACTCCAGACAGAGTATCGTATGCTTCTTTACTTGGGAGTAAAATTCATTTAAACGCAATAGAATTATTTCACCAGCACTGATGATCATCCCAAAGATGCGTTTTTTTCAAGAGGCAAACTGGGCAAGTCCAGTTGCCTCTTGAAAAAAAAAACGCATCTTTGGGACAATCATGACCTGGAGGGCCGAGAATCTCCATAAACATTTGGCACATCATTTGATGATGTTACCTGGTTGGGTAATGAAACGTCTGCAAGAAAACAAGAAGGCTCAGAGAGCACTAAGCGCCCCCCCCCCATTATTTCTGAGCATCTTGATGGTACAGTGGTCTAAGCACCCTGTTATTAACACAGCTGCCTGCAATTACAGCAGGTTCGAATCTCTCCAAGGCTCAAGGTTGACTCAGCCTTCCATCCTTTCTAAGGTAGGTTAAATGAGGACCCAGTTTGTGGGGGCAATAAGCTGAGTTTGTATAAAATATACAAAAGAATGAAGGCTATTGCTTAACGCATTGTAAGCCACCCTGAGTCTCCGGAGAAGGGCGGCATATAAATCAAATTTATAAAAAAAAAAACTCATTAACGATAATTCGGGGGGGGGGGTGGTAAACAGAGAAAGAACACACACCCCCTCCCCAAATTATCTTGGCACACTGGCCAAGGATTTAGAGTTTCACTACTTCAGAATGAAAAAAATCGGTTGACCTGGATTTGTTTCCCACTCTTTCCGTTAGTTTTATTCCAAAATAGAGGAGTCACTGCCCAAATCTAAGCAATGCAAAGTAACCCCTCAAAACTAGGCGAAACTAGGGGGAACGGCTATCCTGAGCCCATTTTTCCTGGCACCATCCCCAAGAACCAGGGACTTGCTTCGGCGCCCCTTCCCCAAGACACGTTCAAATTATTATTATTATTTTAAATTTGATTTATATGCCGCCCTTCTCCGGAGACTCAGGGCGGCTTACAATGCGCTAAGCAATAGCCTTCATCCTTTTGTATATTTATACAAAGTCAGCTTATTGCCCCCACAAACTGGGTCCTCATTTCACCTACCTTAGAAAGGATGGAATTTCCGGCTGAGTCAACCTTGAGCCTGGCGAGATTCGAACCTGCAGTAATTGCAGGCAGCTGGTCTAACAGGGTGCTTTAGACCACTGTACTACCAAGGCTCAAATTACCCCCTTCTCAAATTATCGGGAAGAATCCAGGATAAAAAAATAATAATAAAGAGGATGGGGAGAAGATTTTCCCCTGGCAAGTCTGTAGTTGCTATCCTATATATAAAACTTGAATAGACCGTAAGCGCCACCGAAAAAACGAAATTGTCCTTTGGAGATGCGAAAGGCAGGATTGCTCAGAAACAGGAATCAGCGGGGTCAGAAGTCAAGGCGCGGGTAGTGGCGTCCCCACGTAACCCGGGACACGCCTGTAGATAAACGAGCTGTGTGGTCTTTAGCAAAGTCCCGGACCTTTTATTTGGACTGGGAAGCCAAACTTACGCTCTGTAGGTTCCAGGACGTCCCCTCTTCAATCTATCCCCGCTGGGAACGAGTCTCAAGGAGGGATCGGCGAGCAAGGAACCGCGCTTCTACAGGGCGAAGAATCCACAAACACGCGGGATGGGCAGGGGCGCTTTTCTTTCGGAAAGGAAGAGAGAAATTCGGTCCGAGAAAAAAAAGTGGAGCGCTCTCGGGCTCGAAAAAGGAATTATTATTATTATTATTATTATTATTATTATTATTATTATTAATAGCAGCACCAGTCAATGGTATTTGTGATGCATTTTTGAATATTCAGTTGACTGAGTTTCAAATTTAATGAATAAAGTAAATAATAATAATAGAACAGCTTACATCCTCCGACGATACCTTAACAGTTCCTAGGTCCTTGGTTATGACTCGAGATGCTGAGCTATTAACCAGCCTCAAAGGCTGTGAATCTCACTAAAGATTTAATAATAATAATAATAATAATAATAATAATAATAATAATAATAATAATAATAATAATAATAATAATAATAATAATAATAATAATCCCTCTCCCCGGCGGCCGACCAAACCCCCGGGCCTTAGAAGCCTCGATGAGTTCCTCCCAAGAAGCTTCTTCTGGAGACTTTTTCTGGGGGTCCGGATGCCCTGGACGCCCCCCTCGTCTGTTTCGGAGCTGCACCTCTCTCTTGAATTCAGGCGTCCCGGGTGGATAGTGGGAGTTTTGCATCCCGCAGCGCGCTTCCCCAGCGACAGGGCTGTCAGATGGAGGGGAAGGAAGGCCTCCGGGGTCTCCTCTGTAGGGTCGTTGTAAGGTAGCTTAGTTGAAAAGGACACCGATCGCATGGTCGGGGCGACTCAGGGAGGGTCCGGGGGCCAGCCGGTAAATCACGACCCCTCGAATGAGCGAAGTCCCCTTATAACTTGTATATATTATCAACTCCGCCGCGAGGTTAGTCCGTAGCTCAGGCTGCTGGAGGCAGAAACAGAAGCCACGGAGGTGAGGAAAGGTTACTCAGAGCCTTAGTGGCGGGAGATGGGGGGGAGTCATTCGACCCATTTTACAGAAAGGATGATAACAACCCGCACCCCGTTAGCAGCAAGCAACTAACTGTCCGTGTCTCCGCTAAAATAGGCGAAAATAGAGGGCAAGCCTCAAGGGCGTAAAACAGCTCCGATTCCATGTGGCCCTCCCCAATGTGGTGGGTGGGAGTAGAGTGCCCATCATCCCCAGCAAATGGGGCCTGGAGGGAGGACCCTAAAGGGCCCAAAACGCGCCTGTCTGTCTGTCTTCCAGCAAGCATTTGAGAGGAAAGAGGCTTCGCGAGGCAGGAATTTCCTGGCTGCGCCTAAAATTTTTAACTGTCCAAAAAAATAGAAGTTTTTAAAAGATGCTCGGAGGGTGGGAGGGGCGGCGGGGGAGCTCCCAAAATTATTGCAGGATCGTGGGGACGTAAAAGCTGCGTGTGTTTTATGCGTGTCGGTGAGCTGCTTGGACAAGGGGGCTGACTTTCTACCTTGATTTTCGAGGCCTCTTTTGTTGCGCCTGGTTTTTTTTAACAGTTGGCTCGCCTTTCTCTTCCTTCCTCGACCCGCCGAATGGACTCAAAAGAGAGGCCGGGTTGGCTTTGCACGAGACGCCAAGACAAACTATGATTTGTAGTTTAATTGGGAGAGTGAACACAGCCCTGGCCTTGCCGCCTTTTATCCGGAAAAACCTCCCATTTTCCGGATCTTTCTTTCTTTCTTTCTTTCTTTCTTTCTTTCTTTCTTTCTTTCTTTCTTTCTTTCTTTCTTTCTTTCCTCCTTCCTGTTCTCCCTCTTCTTTCTCTTTCTGTCTTTTCCTTCCTTCCTCCCTCCTTCCCTCCCTCCATCTTTCTCTATCTCTCTATCAGTTTATCTTTATGTCCTTCTGTCTTTTCCTTCCTTCCTTCCTTCCTCCCTTCCTCCCTTCCTCCTGCCTTTATTTCTTTCTCTATGTCTTTCTCTTTCTGTCCCTGTCTTTTCCTCCCTCCCTCCCTCCCTCCCTCTTCCTCTATCTCTCTATGTCTTTCTCTTTCTTTCTGTCCTTCTGTCTTTTCCTTCCTTCCTTCCATCCATCCATCCTTCCTTCCTTTCCTTCTTTCCTTCCATCTTCCTTCCTTCCTTTCCTTCTTTCCTTCCACCTTCTTTCTTTCCTTCCTTCCTTCCTTCCTTCCTTCCTTCCTTCCTTCCTTCCTTCCTCCTCCTTCTCCTTCTTCTCCTTCTCCTGCTTCTTCTTCTCGTTCCCCTACTTCTCCTCCTCCTGCATCTTCTTCCTTCTCCTCGTCTTCCTCTTCTCCCTCTCCCTCTCCTCTTCCTTCGTCCTCCGGAATGCAGAGATGGGGGTGGCTGGATGGGAATCCCCAACCCGATCCAGACCCAACCTAGGCCTCGAGAAAGCGCGGAGGGAAACAGAAGTAGTCTACCCCACCTGGGGAAACGGGTAGTCCGTTACTGGCCCGGGGAAGCCGAAGCTTGGATCCCCCTCCTTTTAAAAAATCCTGGATGTAGACCGGGGGTGGGGGGGAATGACTGCAGTGTCTCCCTCTCCCCTCACCCTCCGACCAGGTCCTTGTCTTATTCCCCGCAGGGGTGCCCATGCCGGCGCTCTTCCAGCCTCACCCGCACGCGGAATTGCCGGGTAAGCACTGTCGCCGCCGGAAGGCCCGTACCGTTTTCTCCGATTCTCAACTCTCGGGTTTGGAGAAGCGCTTCGAGATCCAGCGCTATCTGTCCACGCCGGAGCGCGTCGAGTTGGCCACGGCGCTCAGCCTCTCCGAGACGCAGGTAAGGGCCGAGGCGGAGGGGGAATCCCCCCCCCACCTTGCCAAGTCGTGGGGGAGGGGGGCACGGGACAAAACAGCCTTTATTATTTACGAATTCATGTTTTTTTTAATTTGATTTATATGCCGCCCTTCTCCGGAGACTCAGGGCGGCTTACAGTGCGTTAAGCAATAGCCTTCATCCTTTTGCATATTTTATACAAAATCAGCTTATTGCCCCCACAAACTGGGTCCTCATTTAACCTACCTTAGAAAGGATGGAAGGCTGAGTCAACCTTGAGCCTGGTGAGATTCGAACCTGCAGTAATTGCAGACAGCTGTGTTAATAACAGGGTGCTTTAAATTTGATTTCAGTGTATTTATTAAAGTTTTTATGACGCCTGTCCGGGAATCAAACGACTCTTAGACGGCTTACTAGCGGGGAGGTGGCCTGAACCCCCGCCTTCTTCTTAGCATCAGGCAGGGACCCCAAAGGAAGACGGCACTCTCGGGGGAACCCCTGTATGATGCCAAGCCCGTGCCGACTGGCTACTGAACTGATCCCGTCTCTGCAAAGGTGACTGTAAATTGAGGTCCCAAATGGAAGCGCGTAGAATGCGAAGCCGCCATCTCGAAGCAAATATGGGAAATAACAGTAGTCATGATTCATTAAAGTTTTGGGCAAAATTCAGAAAAAGATTCCATCTCCCTTCCAAGATATTATATATGTATAATATCTTGGGAAGATATTGGAAAGGAAGGAAGGAAGGAAGAAAGAGAAAGAAAGAAAGAAAGAAAGAAAGAAAGAAAGAAAGAAAGAAAGAAAGAAAGAAAGAAAGAAAGAAGAGATAGATAGATAGATAGATAGATAGATAGATAGATAGATAGATAGATAGATAGATAGATATAGATATAGATATAGATATAGATATAGATATAGATGTCTCTTGTGATGAGGATGGATCCCACTGGAGTAGGGATCGAATAGGACCGGGCAAAGAAAACATCGAAGGTTTCTATGGAGATTCTCTATCATCCAGGTTAAATTTGTCCCAAAGGTGTTTTTCTTTGAAGACGTTTCGCTTCTCGTGCAAGAAGCTTCTTCAGCTCTCTTCAGCTTCTTGGAGGAGAAGAGAAACGTCTTCAAATAAAAACAAAGGAAGTCCAGTTGCCTCTTGGAAAAAAAGAAAAAAAAAGAAAAAGAAAACATCTTTGGGACCTGGAAGGTTTCACGCGGGTTTGCTCAGAAATAAATCGATGAATTTCAGTGGGCTATTAAATGAAACTTGTAACGGGCTGCACCCTCATCTCTTCCATCCACGGGGGCGAGGAGGAGAAAAATATGAAAGAGAAGGAGGATAAGAAAGAAAATGGATGAGAAGGAAAATAGAGGAGAAGGAGGAGCAGGAGAAAGAAGGAGGAGGAGGAGCAGGAGAAGGAGGAAGGGAAGGAGGAGGAGAAGGAAGAAGAAGAGGAGCAGGAGCAGGAGGAGGAGGAGGAAGAGGAGGAGAAGGAGGAGAAGGAAGAAGAAAAGGAGGAGGAGGAGGAGGAGGAAAGGGAGGGAGGCAGGCAGGCAGGCTGCACGTGAAGATATTTGATGCGCACCAGCAAAAATCCACTGGATTTATTTTCGAGAAAAGCGGCATCGGATCTGAGAAATCAAACGCCTATGGAAAAAAAATCCGAGCCCCCCCCTGAACGTGTGAAAAGGGCTTTCTCCCGCTCCTTCCTACCCGGTATGTCTGAGAGGAAGGAAAGCAGAGCGGGGAATTCAGCAAGCGAATTTCTCTCTCTCTCTCTCGCTCTCCCTCAGTTTCCCGAGTGTAAAATTTCATAAGGGCCTCTGCCGAGTTCAGGAGAGAAGTGGGGACAAACAAACCCCAAATTCTTCTCAAGTGACTTGAATGGAAGTCCCGTGCTTCCCACGCTCCCACGCCTCACAAACACGTGCACGAACACGTGTAAACGAAGACGTGTAAACATGGCCACACGGGGGGCGGGCGTTAGGCCAACCGGCTGCTTCTTTTTCCCAGGGCTCTCTGGCAGAGGAAGACAGCGCAGCGCCCTCTAGAGATTCCCGACCTCCAATGCCAGGACCTGGAGGGGGGGGGAGGAATTGGGGGGCGGGGGTTGGCCGGTGGGGATGATGGGAACTACAGTCCAATAACATCCAGACAGTCCCGTTTTGTACTGACCGGAAAATAAGACGATTTTAAATAAGGCTCAAGGGACGCGGTGGCTCAGTGGCTAAGACGCTGAGCTTGTGGATCGAATGGTCGGCAGTTCAGCGGTTCGAATCCCGAGTGCCGGGTAACTGGGTGAACTCCCGTGACTTGTCCCAGCTTCTGCCAACCTAGCAGTTCGAAAGCACGTAAAAAATGCAAGTAGAAAAATAGGGACCACCTTTGGTGGGAAGGGAACAGCGTTCCGTGCGCCTTTGGCGTTGAGTCATGCCGGCCATATGACCACGGAGACGTCTTCGGACAGCGCTGGCTCTTCGGCTTTGAAACGGAGATGAGCACCGCCCCCTAGAGTCGGGAACCACCAGCACATATGTGCGAGGGGAACCTTTATTTTACCTTTAAATAACCCCCTTCACCCGCCCCAAGGAAGATTAAAACAAAAAAACCCCCAAATTATTCTGCTCATTATTCTGGTGTCTTCAGGTGAGTTCACACGACGCTAATACCTTAACGGGACCACAAATCCACAAAAGAGTTGAGTTGGCCAGATAGATAGATAGATAGATAGAGATAGATAGAGATAGATAGATAGATAGATAGATAGATAGATAGATAGATAGATAGATAGATAGATGGATGGATGGATGGATAGATAGATAGATGGAAGGATGGGTGGATGGACAGATGGATGGAGATAGAGATAAATAGAGATAGATAGATGATAGATAGATGATAGATAGATAGAGATAAATAGAGATAGATAGAGATAAATAAAGATAGATAGATAGATAGATAGATAGATAGATAGATAGATAGATAGATAGATGGAAGGATGGATGGATGGATGGACAGATGGATGGAGATAGAGATAAATAGAGAAATATAGATATATAGATATAGATATAGATATATAGATCAACCAAAATTCTCCCGAATCCAGCTGTGCTTCTAGCTGCAATGGGTAAAGCCAGATTTCCCGACTCGCTTCTCTCCCCCGACTCCCCGCAGGTGAAAACCTGGTTCCAGAACCGGCGGATGAAACACAAAAAGCAGCTACGGAAGAGCCAGGACGACGCCAAAGCGGCCGGGCCCGAGGGAGCGGACCTGGCGCCCGGAGACTCTGAGCTGGACCCGCCGGCCCAAGCTAGCGTGGCTTCGACCTCCGAGGTCCGTCCAAGCGGCCCCGTGCCGGCTTTCCTGCCGGAGGACCCCGAAGACGAGGTGGACATAATCGAGGGTGGGGAGCTGTGCGGGCCTCAGCACCTCATTTAAGGCGCTGGGGGGGTGCGCGGAACGTCGGAACTGGAGCCGGTGGCTCAGGCCGGGAGGGAAGGCGAGCGAGCGGCTGCTGAGAGACTTCGGGGGGTCCCAGCGGGATCGGAGGACCCTCCCTCCTCTTCCTTTTCCCTTCTCAGGACGAGAAGTTGCTTTGCCAGCATGTCCCGCCCAACCCTTCCTCGAGGCCAGGAAAACGTCGTGTGAACCGGGATGGGAAGATGCGGGCTGGGGGTTCTAAAAGACTTGAGGTTGGAAAACACAACCCCTTAACATTCACGGTTCCTCCTATCTCACCTTTCCGCTCTCAACATCCCCAATGAGAAAAATGCTAAGACTGGAAAACAACCCGCATCACCTCTTTGGGCTGAGTTGTGTGAATGGGACTGGGTTAGGGTTAGGGTTGCTGGAAGGCCACGGGGCTTTTCTCCAGGTACCCACAACCTGTAGGACGCGTGGAAAGCTCGGACAGGTGAGGAAAAACGTCCACATACCTGCCGGTTGTTTTTTTTCTTCCCCAACTCGCGTGAAAGTGGCGAGATCGTTTCGGGTCACAGGGTCGTCGGAACCACGCGGGTGACCTGATTCTGCGCGTTTTTTATCCCCGAATACAGATATATTCCTCCTGCAAGCCTCCTTAAGATACGTGTTGAAAAAAAGAAGGGGAGCGGGATCGAGTGACTAAAGCGCTGCTGAACCCCGTTTCTTTGGAGCAGGCGTTAAAAGGGGTTTAACTCGGGTCGAAATTTGTTCCTGGTTTGTGGGTTTTCAGGGCTTTTTAAAATTATTATTATTTTTACAAATCAGGGGCGGCTAGTTCTCACGAACCCGCGCTAGAGGAATCGACCGTCTTCGGTCGCTTCAGAAATCACCTTTTGAAGCCGAAGGAAAGTTTTGTCATGGGGGTGGGAGGAGGTCGTGAGAATGGAAGGGGAAAAAAACCCATCACCAAAACGGAGCGGAAGGAAGGAAGGAAGGAAGGAAGGAAGGAAGGAAGAAAGAAAGAGAAAAAAGAAAGAAAGAAAAAAAAAGAAAGAAAGAAAGAAAGAAAGAAAGAAAGAAAGAAAGAAAGAAAGAAAGAAAGAAAGAATGCCGGTCTTGAATTTTACCCGAGGTGAAATAAAACAAAACCCTGTGGAAGAATTCAGGAAGAGAGCTGATCATTTGAAACCTAAAACGGGGCTGGGAAAGAGCGAGGGGGAAACTTAAGAGCAACCGGCGGGGGTCTCCAAATCATGCGTGTCAAACTCTTTCTTGAAAGGAACCCAAAGGGAATCGGTGCTAGGAAAGCAGGAAGAACGAAGTCTCCCGGCGCTTTAGAAAACTGGAAGTGGTTTTGGTGGACGTCTTATATCCGATTATTTGAGAGGAAGCCCCGTTGGTTTAAGCGGGACAGGTTGGCCCGGAATCATTCAAGAAAAGTCAGCCGCAGATGGATGGCGCCTTCGCTGGGGATGACTAAAGTGGGGAGGGGGCGTTCCCGGCAGCCCATTAAGAAAAAAAAAAGGGGGGGGGAAATCGGCCATATTATTATGGGCACAGGTCCGGTATCCTCATCTCGTCTTAAACTCGGGTCCTAAATTTTGTAAGGGGCCAGTGGACTAGGTGGCTCAGTGGCTAAGACACTAAGCTTGTGGATCAGAAAGCTCGGCAGTTCGTCGGTTCGAATCCCAAGTATAGGCTTCCTGAGTGAGCAGGGGGTTGGACTAGATGACCTCCAAGGTCCCTTCCAACTCTGTTACTGATTTTGTTCGGGAGAAGGGGGGGGCCTTTGGGATCCTGGTCCGCTCTAGTGTGTAAACCTCACTGGTGTAATTTGATGAAGGATGTAGGGTTGACGTCTGAATCCATCCAAGTGTGGCTTACACCTAGGGTGAAGCAGCTTGTGCCTTGGTGCAACGTGAGGATTAGGTCACTGTGTATGTATTGAAATGACTTTTCCCAAAATGATTATCTTCCTTGTGTTTCTAATTATATTTACTTTTCAACTATTGAGATTGGGCTCCTCAAAATATTTGTTCTAGAAACATGGTGAACTCAATGTCAAAATTTCCTTCCTTCCTTCTCCTCCTCTTCTTCTCCTCCTCCATCTTCTCCTCCATCTCCTCCTCTTCTTCTCCTCCTCCTCCACATCCTCCTCTCCTCCTCCTCCTCATCCTCTTCTTCTCCTCCTCCACCTCCTTCTCCTCTTCCTCTTCTTCTCCTCCTCCTCCTCCACCTCCTCCTCTACCTCTTCTGCTCCTTTTCCTCCTTTTCTTCTTCTTCTCCTCCTCCTCCTCTTCTTCCTCTCCTTCTCCTCCTCCACCCTCCCTCCTTCCCTTTCCAGATTTTTGAGATGCGTCAGCTCCCATCACACTAGAACCTCTTTGCAAATGGATTAAACAGAATATTCTTTCTGCAGATCCTTGCAATCATATCCTAATTTGGTCCAAAACTCTTGCTCTTATGTTTTAGTGCATTTTCTTCCACACAGTGCGGATTCTGAAACACCGAGAGAGAACCAGGAAGGAGCCTGGTGTTGAATATTCCTAAGTAAGGGCTTTTTGAGCATTCATTAAACTGTTTTGCCTTTATCTCATATACCTTCCTCTTTAAGACTTTGGTGGACCGTATTTTTCTCTTAAATCTAAGATGTGTGGAAAAATCTGCAGTGAAGGCAGAATCCTAAAATGGGGACGACCATTTCTATTTCTTTTTCCCACTCCTGGAAACATTTTCAAAAAGTATGACTGGAAATTCTCAGGCTGGATTTGGTTCTCACTCTTTGATGTTTTAGTGGTTCCATCTACCGTCTCCAATCCCCATCCAAACACTAGATTTTGCCCAGTCATCAGCAGCAAAGATAGATGACCATGTTCTCTTTGATTGTCCCACATGCAAACACACACAATTTTATGGTTTGCTAAGATGCTGAGCTTGTCGATCGAAAGGTCGGCAGTTCAGCGGTTCGAATCCCTAGTGCTGCGTAACAGAGTGAGCTCCCGTTACTTGTCCCAGCTTCTGCCAACCTAGCAGTTCGAAAGCACGTAAAAAATGCAAGTAGAAAAATAGGGACCATCTTTGGTGGGAAGGGAACAGCGTTCCATGCACCTTTGGCGTTGAGTCATGACCACATGACCACGGAGACGTCTTCGGACAGCGCTGGCTCTTCGGCTTTGAAACTGAGATGAGCACCGCCCCCTAGAGTCGGGAACCACCAGCACATATGTGCGAGGGGAACCTTTACCTTTACCGAAATAAAACAAATTATAAATGGGGAAAAGAAGCAGAAGTTGGCTGATTTGTCTCCTTGGAAATCTCTTCTTCGTTGCTATATCAGAATTATGTATGGATGCATCATATAATCCGAAGCAAATTCTATCCGTTTGCTTAAATTAAGCAATGTTAGACTGCAGTCTGAATTTTGATTTGAAATCTGGTGACTTTTGAGCTTTCATACTTCTAACGTGGGAGGTTCAGCAAATTTAAACTTTCCTAAGCATTTTTTTTTCAAAACAGATTTTTTCTGACCCTTTCAGAAAGAACTGTGAAGTTTATCCTGTAAATTAAGTTAGCTTAATCGGTCAAAGATATTTACATGGCTAAACATGTGGTCTGATTTCTTTGCGAGCAGATCTCTAAACAATAAAAGCATGCACAAGTGAATTTTCAGTGAGGGTGCCTGTAACGAGACTGGACATGAAGCACATCAAGAAAATGAAGCTATTCTTTAAATGTTTTAAAGTAAAATGATAAAGAAATGTATGGAAGCGAGGAAGGGAAGAAGGAATCAAGCAAGCAAGGAAAGGGGCAAGGAAGAAAGATGGAAGAAAGGGAGGGAGGAATAGGGAGGGAGGGTAGAAGGAAGGCGGGAAGCAAGGAAAGGAGGAAGAAAAAGAGATGGAAGAGAGGGAGGGAGGGAGGGAGGGAGGGAGGAAGGAAGGAAGGAAGGAAGGAAGGAAGGAAGGAAGGAAAGAAGGAAATACCTCTGCTGAGGAACTGTGTCTTTTACCAGAATGGAGATACAAAATATCCAGGTACCACTAGATGGCAGCAAAGATTTAGAGTCTTCTGTATCTCTATTGCCCTCTACTGGTTATCTGGATTTCTGAAGCCCAGATGTGGTAGTCCTAGTTTAACTAATCTGCAAACGTAAGCAAATTGGTGAGCTTGCCAACTGATTGGTTAATACCTGTATGATTAATTAACTTGCAGCCTATTTCCAGGGAGGAAAAAAAAAACACTGAATTAAACTGTATTATGCCTTCAGGTCAGGTCCCTATTCTTGTACTCTTTAAGGTTGCTGCAATGCTTCAGAAATTTGTTGGAAGAAGTGCTTCGGACTTTGGACAAAGAATGTATGGTGCTTTAAGGGGTGTCAACTTGATTTCATTGAAGACAGCATCAGGATTGTGGTTGACCACGGGTGGCTCGGTGGGCATAGCCGGTGGTCGCAGCCAACAGGGTGGGCGTGGCCAGCTCAACTTCACTGCCCTGACTTAGGCTTCCCGATACAGTAAAAGCACTCGAGTCCCCAAAATCCTCTTTTTATTTCAATGGCTGTGAATTCTGTTCATTCACAGCCGGTTCATTCTCAATCTGTTCATTCACAGATGAGTCCCAAATAGTTGCAAAGAGCCCAACAGAAATCTGACACAGTCCTTCGGGATAAGACTGATAAACACCCACCTTTATCTCCCTTGACATGCTGCCAAGACCTAATTGGCAATTGACTTTGCAAGGCCACACGGAGCACAGAGTCAAAACGGAGCTGCAGAATTTAAACCGACCAGAACAAACAAAGTTGCTTCCTGCAAAGGCTCACGTGCCTTTGCTCCTCCTTAATGTCTTATTTATTTATTTATTTATTTATTTATTTATTTATTTATTTATTTATTATATTTCTATACCGCCTTTCTCCCGTAGGACTCAAGGTGGTGTACAGTCAAGAAAAATATAGACACACAAACATCATAAAATTGCTAATTAAAATTATTACTTAGTTTGGTCAATTAAATAAAACCCAGAATTAGATAACATTTAAAATGGGAGGGGCCAATCATCTCCAAGCCCTACTCCCGAGTCGACCCTTTTGTTTTAACTGCTCTTGCCTTCTGGCAGCTGGCCGCATGCGCGCACTGGGAACAGGTTCTCCCTGTTCCTCTGCCTCACTGATATCCGACTCTGGAGGCTCCGGAGTCTGCACATAACTCCCAGATGGCCCTGGCCCCCTCTCTGCCTCTGACGCAGAGCCCTCGCCCGAGCCTTCCCCAGGCTCCAGGGCTGGCCCATCTTCCTCCCCAGCCTCCTCACTGTCCGACTCTGCTGCCAGCTCTGCAGGCTGCTGGTGGACCACAACAGTCACTAGCTTTGGGTGCACCTGTGGTGGCCCAGGTGGATGTGGGGATCCATTGTCTCCAGCACACGCCCAGGGTGACTCCAGGGTGGCCCTGCAGATCTCGCTGGCTCCAGGGTGGCCCCGCAGATCTTAGGCTGACCATATTCCAGGCTGGATGGCTGCCACCAACTTTTAGATCAGCGCCTGGCCAGCCTGGACCTGGGCCAAGACGCTGGGGGCTGGGCCTTTGCTATTTCCAGAGCAGTCCCGCGGGCCAGATCTAACCACATCGCGGGCCGCAACTGGCCCACGGGCCTTTTAGTTTGACACCCCTGCTTTAAGGCATTAGTTCCTGAAATGAATGTAAACCTGAGGGCCAGTCAGATACAGTGATTAAGGCACAAGGCTAGAAACCAGGAGGCTGTGAATTCTAGTCACTCCACTGTGTGACCTTTGGCTGATTTTTTTTCTCTTAGCTCAAGGGACGTGTTCTGCCCCAGCTACGGACCCCAAAGAACGCAGCACACACAAAGTCCGTTCAAACCTTAGTTTACTCAATAAACCAGTCTTTTACAACAACCGCTGTTAATTAATTGCATTAACAGCCGCCAAGATTTCAAAGAATAATAACTGAAAGTTTACTATGGT